TTGGACGCGTCCACAGTGCACCGGCTGTGGCGACGATGGTTGGGAGGAGGAAATATGGCAAGTACGAGGGATGTCGGTGCAGCCAGAGTGACGTCAGCACGCGTAGATCGACGCATCCGCCGACAAGTGGGGGCGCACCCGCAAGACTTCTACCTCCATTCTGCAGCATGTTAACATCCTGGATGTTCCCACATCGACCAGAACCATCTGCCGTCGATTGGTGGCTAGTGGCCTGCACTCGTGGCGTCTGTTAAGAAGATTACGATTGACCTCACATCATAGACACCAACGACTGCAATGGTTGCCGGGCTCGAGAGATCTGGGCGACAGAATGAATCGTGTTCTTAAATGAGTCACGCTTCTGTTTCTTCAATGATAGTCGCCGCATACGAGTGTGATGTCGATATGGAGACAGGTCCAATCCGGTAGCAAGTATAAAACGCCTTACCGCGCGACAACTCGGCATTATGTTTTGGAGCGCAATTGCGTACAATTCCAAGTCACCTCTAGTTCGCATTCAGGGCACTATGATGGCCCAACGATACGTGGATGATGTGATGTGGCCGGTGACACTCCTCTACCTTCTGGGAGTACTCAATGCTCTTTATCTGCAGCATACTGCTCGCATCAGCTAACCAAACACTGCTCGCGTCAGGCAACGTGCTCAAATACTTCTTTGGCCACCGTTTTCTCCTGATCTTTCACCAATCGAACACATATAGGATGTGATAGGACGTCATTTGCATATCCTGCCATTGCCGCGTTCAGAAGACGAACTGTGGCAAATGTTTGACAAGAAATGAGGAACCATTCTTCAGGACAATATCTGTAGTCTCACTGACTCTGTACCTAGACGTGTCGCTTCGTGTATCGCTGTCCAAGGTAGTCCTACAACATACAGAGCCGACGCTGTTCTAGCTCTGTATTATGTATATTATTTCGAAATAAAAATCACTTATTCTTCGTTGCTGCTATCACTGTTTGGCGAGTTTCATCACTTTCTGGCCACCCTTTTTCTCTGGCTTTTCTTCACTATTTGCAGAGTTTCATCATTTTCAATGTCGGATAGTTTAATTAATCTTAATAATCTTTGATAATTTATCAAATGTTTTGATGATTTTTTTAGATTCTAATTTCCAGGTAATCAACACTATTGTCACATTCATTTGGTTTTGTTTGCTTAAGACGTTAAAGTTAAATATTATAAGTTGCTATTAAAACGCCACTATTGTTTGCAACAACAGTACATGTAGATCTATACTTACTTGAAATTTTTTCGTTCATTATAATTTTGCATGAAGGCGTATTCTTTTCTAAGAGGAAAGAGATTGTATATGGTGTTTGAATAATTGGTAAATATAGTTATTAATTTTTAGGTATAATATATCGTTGAATTTTGTAGTTATTAAATAGAATACAGATGGCATAAGTCGTACTGGCATAGTGCTAGGGAAGCCGGTCTTGGGTTTGGGTCCAGATTCCGGAGAAGGCATGGATATTTGTAAATGTATAGTGCCTTTCTTGTATGGGGCACTTAAAATACTGTCTGCCGCCCAACCGGTATAGTGGATAACGTCGCTGAATGCCATGCCGAAGGGCCTGGGTTCGAATCCCGGAGAAGGCATTGATGTTTGTAAATGTATAGTGCTGGTGCGGCACTCTAAATATGCGGCGAGCCGAATGCCCTCTCGTGTGACTCGACCCGTCCCCCTCCGGAGTGCTCTCCATCAAAACTGGGGGCGGAATTGAGCCAAATCGTACGGTCACCTGTTAGGTGTTCAAGGCTGTTGCCAACGACAGGCGTAATCATGAGCTCCTTGCCACGAGGAATTTCGTGGCCTTGGGCTGACTACGTCAGAGAAGTGAGCATTAAGAAGACAACAACAATAACAAAATACTGTTTGGCTATGTAAGTCTTTTCGAGAAGGTGGTAAAGGAAAGGACTAGGAGGCCCACTGATCTGTTTCCCGGAAAATTCTCTATCAAAATCAGGTATAAAATAAATAAGGTCAAGCCATCAAAAAATGACAAACAAAAATAAAATAAAAATATCATATGCCAGTTTACATCAGGCAAAATTAAAATAAGAAATACCTAAGGAAATATAAATCAACTATACCTTAAAAAATGAAAACTGCATACCAGTAAGAAGACGAAAGCTGGACAGAATGAAACCAAGAGATAATCGAACATCGATTGAATTATTATATTACCCTCAGAAGAAAGCGCAGTTATCTTATCAATAAGTAAAAAAAAAAAAAAGCAACGTAGTCGAAATTACAATAAGTTGATGTAATTTTGAAGAGAAATATATGAAAATCATATGCTATTTTAGATAAATCCTCTGCTATTCCCTGTTAACGAAAAAAATCCATAACATATCCTTTCATACGCTTAATGAAGCAAATCTTCCATACTCATTAATACATGAATGAAATATATCAACAAATATGTAAAAATAAAACTTGCTTAGACGCGTTTTCGCTGTGGATTGTGACAATATGCCAGAATTTAATGGGAGAAGAGAAGAATCATGGATCCTCATGGAAGCTGACCTGTCAGCTTGGCGAGTCGGCCTTTTCGCTAAGATCAAAGTGTAGCTCTCCACCTTAGGACGTCTTAACTTTATTATGAGGACTAGTGGATGATAGAAAGGTCCCATGAACGGAGACTAGGCCCATAACTCCTTCCGAAGACCAATAGCGGATATATTTGTGTGCCAAATATATATTATTTCTTCTTGACAGATTAATGTTTTAGTACAGCAACTGCTACAAGAGCATATTTTCATTTTTAATGTGCTCTCATTTAAATGGCGTTGTGATTTTTTTCTAAATAATTTAGGTTTTTCAGCCAAAGAAAAATATGAATTAATAGTATTGTTTAATAAATACGATGTTAAGATTTTGAAAATTTATTGGGAAACAGGAATTTTCGTCTCTCATCTTGAAGGTGTTTATGGAGTAACTGGAATCAGTGAAAACTCTTATAGTTTTTGCAAGCCAGCGACGTCACAATCGTATTTTATAAGAAGCAAAAATTAAACATTGAGAAAAGAAATGTGGTTATTGTTTTTCAGGATAAGAGCAGTAACGTATACAACGCAGTGAATATGAAAGAGAGAAAAAAATTAAATATCACAACAAAAAACAAAACTTAGTTGCATTTTTGTTTTGTCAGCTGTTTGTGCTCTCACCAGAGCTTCAAAACATTTTTTGGACTCAATCAAATACTGAGGTAACCATTAACCCCAAGGGATAGCAAAACTGAAGCAATTCGACCCTCATGATATCATCTCAGAGAAAACACAAGCATTCTTTTCTTTACCAGAGCTTCAAAAAATTCTTTTGGACTCAATCAAATACTGAGGTAACCATTAACTCCATGGGATAGCAAAACTGAAGTAGTTCGACCTTCATGATATCATCTCAGAGAAATTTATAATGTCCATCGTGGAAACTATATTGTTATTTCAAATGATCGGACATTTGCATTTTAATGCTTTCGTCAGGAATGGGCAACACCCTTTGGTCATTATACCATTCATCAACGAAACCATTGCCAACGGTCCAACACAGGGACGAGGATTAGGAGAGATTTAAGAGCTTGATACCAGGGATTACAAGAACGGAGAAGTTTCAACCCAAATTTGATGGAAAGGATGCCAGGGAATGGATATGGGGGTCTTCTATACCTTATGTGAAATTATGAATTGTGAAATTATTAATTGTGATATGAGACGAAGAACAACATTTTTGTATTAAAAGGAAAGCTTTTAAATTCATATTTTAGCTGCTAATTTTATACCACATTTACCATAAAAAATATATCTAGTAAACACTCTTAAAATAAAAGATGAATATTAAACTTATTCAAAAAGGTAAAATCGTTTTAATGAAACAGAAAAAAGACACTAACTAATAAATATTCTTGAGATTGAGGATAACAATAATAGTAAAGAGAATAATAAATGAAGAATGAGAATTTAAATCTGCAATTGAAATTTAGCTTAGGGCATCACAGTTTCAATAGAAATATAATGACAAATCACAGCAAACCCTGTAGGCAAATTCAGAATTAACACATTTTGTATGCTTTTGGTTACTACGAACACTTAGACTGAAATCTTCGAACAATAAAAATTGACAGCAATTATGTTTTTTACTTTTTTGCTAGTAAGTAAAAATGAGAGCATTTTGAAAAATGGTAACTAAAATGACATACATAATATTCAAATCTACCACTACATATGTGGTTAAAGACAATCTACAGCAAAAGTAAATGGAAACAGCTCGCAGTACTTACCTAATTAATTTAACACTTCCAAATTTAGTTTAAAATATTTTTGATTTTTACTTGTTGCAGTTGCAATCAGAGAACTCTCATTTTATGAACCAAATTCAATGTTAAAAATTAAATCATGCGTATGGAAATGTCGCAAACAAGTTTTTACAATTTTGCAATACACAAAGGGTTTTCAAAGGCGCCATTTCTGAATTCGTAGTTCTAGCGTCAAAAATCTTAGGGAATAGTAGATAGCTTGCCTTGCAGGAAAAAAAGCCCGGCATCTTTGAAACTGTAAACCAATCATTCCCTTGTCAAGCATGTATTATTATCGATAGATGCACTTTTGAACAATTATTGTAAACATTACTATAAAGAAGCCCTTGTCAACGATGTCGCAAATAAATAATTTAACTTGCGTTTGTGCTTCAACGTGTCACTTTCAGCCATACATTAATAAAAAAAATTGTTTGTTGTAGTGTATTCTCCTAGAATTCATTACAATTCAAAATGTGACGATCAATTGCGTTACCTTAAAACTGTAAACCCTTGAATCTGTGACCATCAATTGTGTTACACCGTGTGCATGTGTGTGTGTGTGTGTGTGTGTGTGCGTATGAAAATGACTTAATGCTAGAATACTAAAAATCATATAGTAATAAAAATAGAAGAGCATCACAAAACATAACATGACACAAAGAACACAAATAACTTACGATAAGCAAAAGAAATGCATTGAAGTTACTGTGAGTCATAAAAGAAGGAGCTTCAGATAACGTATTTGCGTTTGTGCATAGGTAGCTTGGCCCGTTGATTATTTACAGCTACGCCTACCTCGCATGGATCCTTTTAAGCGGAGAAGTAAAAAGATCTTGTGGCATTAAATCCCATCCTGCAAAAGAACAGATTACAGATGTTGATTATTTACAGGTTGGTTGACTGGCTACTTAATTATGACAAAACCATGGAGGTAAGAAAGGAAGGAGTGGCCAATCCGGCCACTCGCTCCGAAGCTTCGGTCACCAGATGGGGTGTTTTTGTATTTACATTCAGAAGCTCGAGAAATTAAAGATTTCCACATGCCGGAACTGAAAAATGGTATTTATGCATGTGCTTGCAAAAAGCATGTATCTGCATTTAACAAAATACGTAAATATTTATTAAATTATTTATAAATGTATTTGAAATGAAGGATTTATTCATTCATAAACAACTGTGAAAGTTACTGTGAAAAAATCTAATTATTAAATATATCTAAATTTATAATGATTAAAAAATATTATCTAAATATATAATAACCTTAACGCTTAATTGTAAACATAAATTGACATCGTGTTGACAAATACGTTATAAAACTAGTTAAGCAAGAATTGTTCGTACTAGAAAGCAATCTGTTAAAAAGTATTGTAAAGCAATTTCTATGAGATGCGTATTTAAGAAAGTAATAAAGAAGAGTTTTGGAATATGTATTGTTGAAATCAAGGGTAAAAAAATCTAATAAGTATAATTAAAAGAATTATTCCCCTTACATTTTATAATAAGTCAGTTAAAAGTTTTAAATAATATTTAAAAAATAATCCGTACTTTATTCGCTTTCAGAAATGTTCAGAGAAAGTTAAGTACTATTTAAAGTATTTCGTTATTAAATTAAAAGGTGCTCTAATTTGAAATGGACCGAATAGAGCATTAATTATAAATTGACTTATACTTTTCGATTTAAAAGATGTCTCAGAAGCTAAAAAATCATGTCATATATGAGAAAGTATTTTAGGAAGAAGCTCTATAAATAGAAAAGAAATAATGCATAACTTTAATAAACTTTGATCTTAATTTTTGTAATCCTTAACCGAATCAAACCGAATTACCTTAAATTTTTTTCTAAAGTAATTAACGAAAACTTGTGAAAATATTTCAAATTAAACCATTCTGAGCAAATTGTTCTGTGAAAAGTATAGCATTTAATTCCGTTCAAAATGAAATGTTGTTTAAAACTGTTTTCTTTTCGTATACTTAGGACTCTGAAGTATTGTAGAAAAAGAAAATATATACATTTATATGCATATTTACGACGTAATTACAAAATATTTACATCCGATCGTGTCAAAACCCATTGAACTCAATGGTAAATTACCCAATGTTTTGGTCACCAAAGGAGAGATCGCCAGTGCTTCAAAGCAGGGTATGGGAAACTGGTTTAGGGCCACTCCATCTAACTTCCTACCTCCATGGACAAAACACTCGAGGGGTTTCTTCCTAAAGACGATCAAGAGTCGAGTAGGACATTTTGGAAAAAACTGGCCCGTATTTTCGCTATACATAAGGGAACTCCATCTAACCAACATGTTCAGCCAAAGGGGCCAATCTCAGAACGAATTATCTGCGTTGAGCGGCTTTAGACACTGGGTCGCTGGTGGGTAGTTAGTTATGAGAAACGATTGAACAGAATTGGTTATTTTAGGCAAAACCTGTGACAGCTATCTCACCCCCAGTTTTGGCATAGAACACTTCGGATAGAATCCAAAAGGTCTCCAGCCAATAAGTTTCGAATCGACAGATTTTTAAATATCTCCAGTTAAAAAAAAGTCTAGGAGTATGAAAATAGACTAAAAAGCTATAATTACCTCAAGGTCAGGGCATGCATATTCTTTATGAATGAATATCACGATTTCATTTCAATAAAATTTGTTGTTACCTTCATATTTCTGAAAATATTCTAGTCATTTGACGGTGCATGTTAGAAAACTATGATTAATAAACAAAAATAATAAGCCAAAGCCAGCAACAAAAGCCCTCACTTTGAAGAAGAATGACTTATTCTAATACTTGCTAATTGTTCATTTTCAGGATCTACATAAAAATAATAATATAGATTTTCTCATCAATTAAATTCGAGAATTAACATTCTGAGATCAAAACGTAGCCCTAAATAATTCATTTATTCTTTAGATGCGATCTGGATTATTAGTTTTCTAAAGATGAGTCTTTCAAACTTTCAGATTTCGCGAATCTTCAAAACGATCTGAATTTCTGAAATTTGAATTTTATTCGAAGCTTTACTTACGAAATCGCAGAACATTTTATCTCGAAAGTTTAGAAATATTAATTGTATATACTCACTAAAACTTAATGTGATTGTTGAAACTTCAGCAGCTATTTCATAATGGAAAAGCACACGAGGTCTCTCTGTCCGAGATGAAGGAGGACTTCGTGGAGGAATTTTTAAGGAAACTTGGTTTGCATTCACGTTACATAGGGCGGAAACCACGAAAAACAATTATGCAACTAGCCAGTTCACCTGGATTCGAACCCGGGTCGATTTGCCAGTATTCAGCTACCTTAAACCCTCGGCTGCTAGTGAGGCTGAAATACCTGTGGTATCCGAATTACTTAATTCAGCCTGTGGACTGCCGTAAGTGCCACACTGTTTCAATATGGTATCCGCGAAAGCCTGCTAAAACTCTCATTAAAGTAATCGGTGACCTTCGCTTTCTCGAAAATTCTCGAAAACAGCTCTCGGATAGTCTTAATAATCCTGGGCGTGCATAACCTATTATAAATATGTTTCTGAGAACTTATGGTATGGTTTATAAATGCTTCGACGCTAACATGATTCCATTTGTCTACCTGCTGAACTATTCAGCTAAAGTTGCTGAGTTTTGAACTGTTATTTGAAATTTGAGGTGTCACTCAAATATGCTTATCAAATAATATTGAGAAAATAAATTTTAAAATTCAAGAGTCTAATTATGTATTTCATTTTCTGAATTTCATTTGCATTTTTTTAATAAACGTAACTGTATTTTTAAAAAATTGTATTACTGCATTTGTTTTACATTAAACGCAGATTTAAAATTCTGCTTTATTTAAAAACTTTTAATATTAAGTTTTTTAATTCTTATTTTTATTTGAATGATTCGAGAGAGATTTGAAAAATTATAAAATCTTTCAGGATTCGGATTTAAATTCGAAGAAATTTAGGATTCGACCTACCTTTAGTGCTTTCCAAAGAAAAGTAAACAGATTCATAATATTTCTCTGCAAGATCTGAGATACATCTTCGTAATTCCGATGTCTGTAGTTTCAATTAAAAAATATTACACAAGACAGCGACGGTATGGCGTGAGTTGCTTGAAGAGAGGTTACACTCTTAATATCTCTAGCGGGTCCAGGCTTTAAATGAAAAGGATTTTCCACAACTTGAAGCATTTTCTCGTTGGTTCCTGAAACAGAGCTTACTGCATCCACTGTTTGGAACTTGTGCCCGTTTATATTCTACACATACACAACGTTCACATGTGACGGCATATTTAATATGCACAACAATCATGTGTGGGCCACAATTAATCCGCATGCTATACGTTCGAGATGCCGACTGCAAAGGTCATGTACGCAATGTACTTTATTCAACCTTACCTTTTACCAGACCACCTAAACAGAAAGAAGTACTTCACCTTCATTCAGCATGTACTTCCTGATTTATTACAAAATGTGTCAGCATATGTTTGAGCAAATATGTAGCTTCAACATGACAGAGTGCCAGCACATTTCTTCAGGACAGTGAGAAGCTACCTGAACATTGCCTTTCCAAACAGATGGGCCGGCCTCGGGGGGCCCATCTCTTGGTCTCTCAGATCTCCCGATCTGTCCTGCCTAGAAGTTCATCTCTGGGGAAAGTTAAAAAGCGTCGCTTACGAGACGCTGATAGAGTCACCAGATGACTTTGTCGATCAAATTAACGCCACCGCTGCACACATTCGCGAAATGACAGGAATCTTTCAACATGTATGCGATTCACTTTGTCGCCAATATGACGCCTGTATTTCAGTTTATGGACGCTCGTTTGACCATTTGCTGTAAAGTTTTCAATAATAAAGTTTCTTTCTCCTTCAATTATTCGTCTTTATTGTGCTCTTTGTTTTCACGAAGCAGGCGCCCTGTCGCTGCTTGCCCTTTGCTTTCCGACCTCACATTTTATGGTGAATCTTGTTTGTTTTGGAAAGTTCCATCATCCATTATAGTTGTGACCTTTAACTCTCTTACACTCCGTATTTCAAAGTTGAAACGGATATTGATGTAGTTCTTCAAAAACAAGAACGATTTGTGCTCTACTTTATGGGTGTTGGCATGAAAGTGTTTGTCATGGAGAATAAAAAGAAATATTAAACTGGACACTATGCAAGCTCATTCTTTATGTATCAACATCCGATTTCAACATTGCAAGTCATGTAAAGATTTGCTTCGGCTTTTGGTTTTAAACAGATTTTTTTTTTTTTTTTTTTTTTTTTTTTTTTTTTTTTTTTTTTTGTGTGTGTGTGTATTGCTGTGTGGTTTGGGTAATTTCTTCAACATTCATACATTTGTAATTTCTTTCCATTTACTCCATTTTGTTACGCATTTTACTTTTGAATTTTTCCATTTCATTACGATGTTATTGTTTTTTTCGCGTGATTTTACTCTATTACAGCTTTTTTGTTTCACAAAATTTCATGAGCTGTCAGACTCGCTCTAGATGTAGGTCTATCAACGGTTGAGCATTAAAGAATATGAACACTGATAATCCGATTCGAGGTCAAATCCCGCCAAACGAGCTAGCTGCATGGGAGTTTTCGAGATTTTTCTCTATGTGTAATGTGAACAGGAGCCTCTTTCCTTAAAACGTCCTCTATGAAGGCATTCCTTCCTTAAGACAGATAGCCCTTCCGTGCTTTGCCGTATTCCGAACAATTCAATGTACTCCGATCTGATCTAGGTAATGGAATACTTCTTTTTCTCTTTTAAAGCAGCAGCGACTAGTCGGTAAAACTGCTAAGCACCTTATTTACGTAACATAAATATGAGTCAGTTTTTATAAAGTATTCTCGTAACAACCATAGTATTTCTATAAATGTAGTT